TTACGAATAAACAAAGCAACAACTCTGTATCAGAGCCAAGCCCAGCGATAGCACTCAAATAGCGGAGAAGTTGACTATATATGGACAGAACCCCAGCACCATAAACTTTCTGTCTCCTCTGCCAGGGAACTCAGCCTCTCGAGCTGATGGTAAAGTGAAATCATGGGTTATTGTACTTTTTGCTTTCAAATATTCTCTAATTTTTACTTAATGAGCATGTAATTTATTTTTATTATTAAAAGTTAGAAATAATATCTTTATTTCTATGTAAAGGACATGTGGTTTCACTGTACATTCAAAAGCATTCTTCTGCTTGTCCACAAGATGACAGCAAAAGTACAATGAATACAGGAGTAGCTGAAAAAGAATATATATGTTTATCAATCTGCATTCAAACTTTTCTTCCATTTATCCAGAAGGCAGCATCCAAAGTGTTATCAAATGCAGTAGCAGTAAAGCAAGCTCCAGACAGTTTGGTCTGAAACAGAACATTGCTATGGATGGCTCAGTTGCTCTTGGACATATTACTTGCACACATTAATCATTATGTTGTTACTGATTCTGATAAGAAAAATAACTGCGTGTTGATTGTAAATTTGGTAGGTAGGAAAAAACACAAGTCACCTACTGTGGAAATATTCAGACATAGACATCATTGACAGCCTGGCATTAATCCTCATGCTTATAGATATGTGATAGAAAGGGGAAGCTACACATTTGTGAAACAAAATGTTCCCTGGATTCAACTGTTTTCTAATCTACCCTTTCACATAAATTACATCTAGAGTCTTTTCCCTAAGTTCTTTGGTATGGTGATTTTTAACAGGTGTAAGACATTCATCCTGTGATTTATTGTAATTTGTTTAACGATTTAAATGAGCTATTTAGGCTGTTTGTCTTCAAATTAACACAGGATTTCCCACATACAAAATGTTGTGAGAAAATATTGCAATTACTCAATTACCAGCAAAATTTGATGCATGTTGATATTTCTCCGTCTTTGTTTTAGATATTTTCTGTCTGTGGTAGTGCCGATTAAACCCAGGGCCTTGATACTGAGCTTGACCCCCAGCCCTTTCGTTTTTATTTCGAGATAAGGCCTTACCGAGTGGCCAAGTTGCCCAGGCTGGCCGTAAAATTGGGATCCTCCTGTCTCAGCCTCCCAATTCGCTGAGATAAAAGAAAATTTCAATCTGCGAGGACTGTGCATTCTTTCTAACCTTGTCTCAGACTTTAATTACAAATATAGATTCCACAAACCACATGGTTTTGTTCTAAACTTTAAAATTGTAAACATAAATATGATTAAAAAGACTTATCTTTACTTAGGCTAAGATTATGATTGGAGATTTACTTCTGTTGTTATAGGCTTAGCTCCTTTTAAATGATCTCAGGCAATTAAATCAATATAATTTATAACCCAGACTTTCAGACTTTCCAATCAATGGGAATCAGTGCTCTTGTGACGGGGTAGTAGTTGCGGATGAGGTCCTGTAGGTGGCGCACGGAGACAGGAATTAAAGCACCCACGAAGGCCTTTGTCCTTCCTAGAAGAGGCAGCACTGACCCAGGACAAGGACCCTTGCCTGTCTCCTGGATGCAGCCCAGCACACTCCCCAGTTGCTCCCATTTACACTGAGCCAACAGGGAGTGAGCGCCCCACTCCCTCACCTCCTCGCTGTGTGCTATGTGATGGACTGTGACCCTCTATAAGGCTAAGCAGTTTTAAAATGATCGAAGTATACATCTCTTTGGGTCCTGTGTTGTTGTTGTTGTTGTTGTTGTCGTCGTCGTTGTTCTTGTTTTGCTTTTACCTTGTTGGTGCTTGAGAAGGAACCAAGGGCCTGGTGTGAATGCCGGGCACGCGCTCCACCACTGAGCTCCACCCCAGCTCCTGGCCTTGTCTTATTTGCATCAAATTATCACTTGTTCCCATACTCCTGATACAAACTGAGCCTCTGCATGAAGCAGGTGGCCTGTGACACACAGATAATTTTTGGGAACTTAATCCCGGAGTCGGAGTCTGTATTTGAAAGGCGTGAGTAGGTTGGGTGTAGTCCTCAGGACAGTTGGATACCAGACTGCTGACAATGAGCTGTGCTCAGCACTTTGGTCAAAAGCAGCAAGGAAAGAGTGGTGGGGTGGGGGATGTGAGTGCTCAGAGCTAAGGGCGCTGGCCAGCTCTCACTGATTGCACAACCAGCAGCCTGGGGAGCTAGAGATAGTGGCCTCATGAAGAGGCATCCAAGATCCTGAAGCCTTCTTCCTGTCCCAGAGCCATCACCTTCCCTTCTTGACAAACATATAGAGCCTGTGCTCTCTGCCCTCAGTAGGTCACTCGCATTCTGGGTACTGAGTGGGTCTCTGGGGTGGCGTGGGGGGGGAACACAGCCCAAGAAATGCTGTGTGTACTAATTCAGAGTTCTTGCTGCCCCAGATACCTACTGCAACCAAGATACATGTGGGTGAGCACCTGGTCCCCTGAAGGCCTGCGGGAATTGGGGTACAGGACATCAACCCAGGAGAATAGGAAGGAGCCCGCATCTGTGACCAGGCCTCTGGGTCTTGGGTCAGGATGTGCACATATGCCTGAGATAGGCTACCTCCTTCCACAGGTCCTAACCGCACGGTAATGAACAGAGGCTGGGATGTGAAATGTGCCAACAGGAGCTGGGTAATCTCCAAGAATCATTGTTAATAACTATATTCATCACACTGTACAATAGGTCACTGGAGGGCTGGGGATTCAGCTCAGTGTGCTGCCTGGCAAGCACAAGGTCTTGAATTCGATTCCCAGGACCGAAAGAAAAAAATCACTAGAGTTCATTTCTTCCTCTTGAAATTTTGTACCTTTGACCAATTGTCCCCCCACACCAGCTCTTAGTAACCTCTGTTCTCTTCTGTATTTCTGAGTTCACATTGTTTAAGATTCCACATGTAAGAGGGATTATGTGGTATTTGTTTTTCAGTGACTGGCTTCTTGCATCTAGCATAACATCCTCTTGGATCACCCATATTACTGCAATGGCAAATTTTTTTCACTTTTAAAAAATGATGTCTATTTGTGAATACATATTAGCTATACAAAACAGTTCTGGCACATTCCTACATGCGTATAACGTACTTTGATTATTTTGCCATCCATTGCCCCTTTGCTCTTACCTACCTACCTCTCTCTCCTTTATTCCATTCCTCTTCTTTAATTGTGTCCCATCTGTTTCTCTATCATCTTGCCCCTCTCCCTCTCTTCCCTCCCCTCCCCCATGTCTCAGATTTCATAGGTGATATAAAATAGGCAACTTTTACTTAATCAAGGTCAGCCTTTTTTTTTTTTAACTCGGGTCCTTGCGCTTGCAAGGCAGGCCACCGAACCACTGAGCTAAATCCCCGGCCCATGGTCAGCCTTATTTTGTGTAACATGCTGGTCTCCAGTTCAACTCATTTCTCTTCGAATGTCAAGATTTAATTCTCCTGTATGGGTGAATAATGCTCCCGGTGATACCTCATTCTCCTGAGCCTTTCCCTGTTTGACAGATACCTTGGCTATTCCCATGGCTTTGGCTTTTGTGAACTGCATTGCAGTTGCCATAGGTATGGAGGTGTCTCGATACTGTTCTGATTCTAATTCTTTGAGGAATATACAGGGGAGTGGTATAACTGGGTGAAATTGCAGCTCTAGTTTTGGCTTTGTGAGGATCCTTCACACCGATTTTCATAGTGGCTGTACTAATTTACATCCCTACCAAAAGCACAGAAGAGTTCGTTTTACCTGCATCATTGCCAACATGTATTGCTTTGTATTCTTGATGACAGCCATTCTGCCTGGGGTGAGATGGAATCTCAGTGTGGTTCTGATTTACATTTCCCTAATGGCTAAGGATGTTATTACTTTGTCCATCTACTCACTGGCCATTTGTCCTCCTTCTTTTGAGAAACATCTGTTCAATTGCCCTTTTATGTACCTGGTTATTTGATTTTTTTTTGTTTTTTTTTAGGTTTTTATCTATATTATAGATATCATGCCTCTGTCAGAAGAGTAACTGACACTGATTTCCTCCCATTCTGTGACCTGTCTTTTCATGCCACTGATCATTTCCTTTGCTGTGCAGATGCTTTCATGTAGCTCTGTTTGAGGATTCTTGCTATTGTTTCCTGCGCATTGGTGTCCTGATTCAGGAAGTCTGTGTCTGTGCTAATGTGTTCAAGGGCCCCCCACACCGCATTTTTTTTTCTAGTTGTTTGAAAGTTTTAGATCTTTTCCCAGGGTCTTTACTCCATTTGGAATTGATTTTAGTGCAAGGTGAGGGACACTGATCCATTTTCAATTTTCTATATGTGGATATCCAGTTATCCCAGCACTGTTTGTTAGAGTCTTTATGACAACCTACGCTTTTGGCTCCTTGGTCAATAATCAGATAGCTGTGTTTACATTGTTGTTGTGTCCTCTACTTTATTCCATTAGTTTATGTGCCTATTTTGAGTCAGCAATATGCTGTTTTTGTTCCTATGGGTTTGTAGTATAATTTGAAATCTGACACTGTGATGTTCAGGATCACTTTGCCATCTCTGGGTCCGTTGTGCTACCACACAAGTTTGAGGATTGTGTTTTCTAGTTGTGTGAAGAATGCCATTGGTATCTTAATGAGGTTGCCCTGAGCCTTTCAGTCGTGTTGCCACTTTACAACTATAATTCTGCAGATGCATGAGTAAGGGAGGTCTTTTCATATTCTAGTGTCTTAAATTTATTTGTTTTTGTTCTCAAATTTTTATTGGAGAAGTCTTTTAGCTCCTTGGTGAGATTTATACTTAGGTGGTGTTTTTTTTTCTTGAAGCTATTATGAATGGAATTGTTTTCCTAGTTTCCCTCTCAATGGGTTCCTTGTTGATATATAAAAAAATCTCAATTTTTATATGTTGATTTTGTATCCTGCCACTTTTGAGAATTTATCAGAGCTAAAAATCTTGTGTTGGAATTCTTAGGGTCTTTTAAGTAGAGGATTAAAGAATACAAATATTTCATGAATTTACATGTCATTCTTGCACAGTGTGCTATGTTAATCTTCTCTATTGCTCCAATTTTAGTATACAGGCTGCCAAAGTACACATTATTTCCTTCTTTTTGAGGATGACTAGTAAGTACTCCATCAATCATATCTTCATAACCTGGCTCATATGAATAGTGCTGCAAACAACTTGGGCATGTCAATATCTATTTGATGTAATGATTTCATTTCCTTTGGATATACGGCATGTAATCTAATTTCCAGTCATTTGGCAGATATATTTTTAATTAATTGAGGAAGCTCCATATGTTTTCCATAAAAACTGTACTAATTTACATTGTTCAACAATGGTGTGTTAAAGTTCCCTACATTCTAACCAGACTTATCTTTTGTCTTTCTGCTAAGACCCATTCTAACCAGTTTGAAGTGATATCTCATTGTGGTTTTAATTTGCATTTCTCTGATTATTGGTAGCAATGAGCATTCTTTACATACCACTGGCCGCTGGCTTGTCTTAGATTGAGAAATACCTATTCAGGTCCTTTGCCAATGATTTGAGTTATTTAATTTCTTTCTTACCATTTAGTTGATTCCTTCTATTTCTGGGACAATAAACCCTTCTCAGATACATAACATTCAGGTATATTCTCCCATTCTATAAGGTGTTTCTTTATTCTATTGTTTGTTTCCTTTTCCATTTGCTGTTACATTGGGCTACTTTTTATTTGTTACTTGTTCTTTTGAGTTCATATCCAAGAAACCATTGCACAGATCCATGTCATGGACATTTACCCATATTTTCTTATAATAGTTTTACACTTTCAAGTCTTATGCTTCAATCTTTAATTCACTTTGAGTTTATTTTCCATATGGTGGGAAATGAGGGACTCACTTCATTCTTCTGCATGTGGACATCCAGTTGCATGGTTGCAACACCATTTACCTGAAAAACTGTCCTGTCCCCATGTCAAAAATCAATGGCCTATAAATGCATGGATATATTTCTTCTGAACTCTGTAGTCTGTTGCATGGATCTAAGTGTCAGTGTTTGTGTTTAACCATGCTTATTGGCTACTTTGGTATATTTTGAAGTTGGGTGGTGAGATAAATCCAATGTTGTTTTGTTTAAGATTGTTTTCATTATTTGGGGCTTTTGAGGTTCCATATGAATATGAGGCTTTTTTAAAATTTGTTTCAGAACTGTCATTGGTGCTTTCATGAGGATTGCATTGAATTGTAGACCATTTTGGATAGAATAGACATTTTAATAGTATTCCTTGAATCCATAAACATTAGGTATTTTTCCATGTATGTGTGCCTTTTTCATTTATTTTATCATATTTTTTTCATTTATTTTTCATATATTTACTTATTTTATAGATTTGGTGTATAGGATTTTTACTTCTTTGGTTGAGATTATTCCTACACATTTAACTGTTAATTTTAATAATTTAATTGCTTTAACAGGGTCTTTTGCATGATTTCTTTTTTCAGATAGTTGGTTGTGAGTGTATAGAAAGCTAATGACATTTAGATAACTTTGTATTTTTCAATTTTCCTGAATATGTTCATTGTTTCTAACTTTTTGTTTTGTTTTGTTTTTTGAGACAGAGTCTCACTATGTAGTTGAGACTGACCTGGAACTCACTATGTAGCCCAGGCTGGTCTCGAACTTACAGCGATCCTCCTGCCTCAGCCTCCCAAGTACTGGGATTACAGGTGTGCACCACGGCACCCGGCTACTAACGGTTTATTTTTTGTGGAGTCCTTGGAGTTTTCTGTCTATAGGGTCATGTCATCGGCAAATAAGGGTAGTTAAAATCCTTCCATTCCAATGTCAGTGGCTTTTATTCCTTTTTTTTCTCTAATTTCTCTAGCAGAACTTACAGTACTGCATAGAATAGCAGTGGTAAGAATCTCTGTGCTATTTCTGATTTTAGAAGAAACATGGTTGTCTTTTTCTCATGGACTGATGTCAGATATGGGTTGGTAACATGTTGCTTTGCTGTATTGAGGTACATTTCATCTATACAAAATTTGGTGTGAGGTTTTTTCTTTTTAATCAGGATGGACTGTTGAATATTTTCAAATGCTTTCCCTGCATCTGTCAAAATGATCATTTTTCTTTGTCATCCTTCTGTTGGTTGCTATATCAGATTTATAGGTTGAATTTTCCATAAATGTTGAAACTTCCCAGTGTCTCTGGCATGAATCTCCCTTTATGTTGATGAATGATTTATTTGATGTGCTCTGTGATCTGTATTCTTGAATTTACTCAAAGGTTTTTGCTCAGTGTTTATCAGGAATATTGGTTTATAATTATATCAATGAGCCTTTCTAGCCAAGGCACCCTTACCATTCCATTTGACCTTTCCACTCACAAAGAAGCCCTGACAAAGAAACACTTCCCATGTGTTCTCACTAAGGATCACCAGTGCCACCTTCTTCGTCCTCAATGGCATCCTGTGCTTTGGGGGAGAAACATTCACAAAGACCGACTAAATGGTGCTTCTGATGCTCCCAAAAGCTCACAGGAAAGCTTGATGGCTAGGGCATGTGGGAAGGTCATCCAGCAGGTTGCTTGAAGAAATCACCAGCTACACAGTACACTAGGATGATCATATCTTCTTGGAAAATAACCCCCTGCCTTTGGTTTCTTGGGGTGTATCGCAAGCTCCTGGCCTCCTGTCTTCCCTCATCCCATTTCTTCTTTGATGGGTTTCACTTCTTGAAGTCTTCAGGCCGACAACTCCTACTCGTGTGATGCCAAAATCCAGAGCAGGAAGTGATGGTGTGATGCTAGCTCACATCAGTGATCATGACCACTCCAGTTGGCCACAAGTGTGGAAATAGGCTCCCCCATGCATGCAGGAGAATGTCCCCTCTTGGAAGTCGTGGATCTGTCAAAATGTGATCATTGTGTAATCACAGCAGGGTTTCTTAACCTTGGGCTGCAGGAGGAGGTTGAGTTGCATCCACAGTGTCTACTCACTAAAAGCCAGTAGTGGCATTAATTTTCCCCCAACAGCAAGACCCTGAAATGTCCACACACTGCTAAAAGTCTTCTAAAGGGCATCATGGCTTGTTGTGACCACAGGTTTGGATGAAGCCCTTGACTTAAGACCATGGAATTTAGGGTGTTTTGAGAGAATTTTGTGGAAATCATTAATCAAGGGAACTGCACAATCTCTTCCAAGTCCCATCCCCCCATCCACCAGAACCTCAGAGGTCCTGGTCTGTCAACTACCTCCTGCCATGTCCTAGCCTGAGCCCCAGACCGGCCCCACTTTTGCCAGGCCTTACTCTTGTCCAAGGAAAAACGAGGCCTTGAAGAGAGGAGTTTCCAGCCAGAGAGCTGAGAGCTGCCGTATTTGCGGAGTGAACTTAGGCTGCAGATGCAGGCACACACCCAGTAATGATTCTCCTCAGGTTTCCCTCAGATCCGAACCCCAGGCTTGGGGCATTGAGACCCTTCAGGGAGGGCACACAATGGTAGGGGGTGTAGAACTGAGCTTCCTCTCCTCTCTCTACCCTTCCAACCCCAGCTGCACACAGGTTCCTGCGATAGAAAGTGGGGCCACAATCGCAGAGCACCACATGGTAAATCGGTTCTCCCACAGCTTGCACAGGGCTGGTCCTACTCACCAGTCACAGTGTTCCTCTTTCCGTAAACCTGAACTGGCCTTTTATTGTTCAGTGGACCAAGGCCCAGCTCCTCAGCAGAACCTGCGAAATCCCTTGTCATCCAATCACAGTCCCACTCTGCCCTCCATCTCCCCACAGGCCCTGCTCATCTATCCACCCCAAGCCATCCCCCAATGAGATTCTGATTGCCTCACCCAGCTGCTTCTGCTTCCCTGTCTTTCTCCTTCCCTCTGTCCCTGGTGTATCCTCAGAGACCCCGTATGCACGTCACCTCCCCAAAGTCTCCCAGTACTACAAAATCCAAATCATTCAGTTCACAACTCCCACCTCACAGGATTGTCCTTTCTCAGTAGTGAAGGTAACACACTATATTTCTCAGGTACACACACCCATGCTAGCTAACATAGTTTTGGCGATATGGCAGTTATTCAAGGAATATGATTCAAGACTAATTTTGGTCAATTTGTGTGAGGTTCCTATAACAGCCAGATATCATAAGGCTCACTGTGCCCTGTGCAGTGGTGCACATTTGTAATCCCAGCTGTTTTTGAAGCTGAGGAACAAGGATCACTAAGTTCAAGGCCAGCCTTGGCAATTTAGTGAGAACCTGTCTCAAAACAAAAAGGGATGGGTATGTACTTCAGTGGTAAATTGCCCCAGGGTCCCATCCCTAGTTTCAAAAATTTTGTACTAAGAATGGAACACAAGGCCTTCTCATGGAGCTAGAACCCTAGCCTTTTAAAAAAATTTTCTACTTTGAGACAGGCACTCACTAAGTTATTTAATTGTCCAGGTTGAATCGAAACTTGTGGTTGCCTTGCTTCAACCTCACACGGTGCTGAGATTACAGGCCTGTGCCACCACACTGGCTGAAGACTTTTAACTAATCAATAATATGACAAGTAACTTCAACAGCAAAACTGGAATAAGAGCAGGGGAGTCACCTTAAATCAGAATGGCAAAGGATGTGGAATGAAGCTACACATGTCACATCAGAGAAACATGGTGGAGATGAAGGAGCGGATATGCACACCCATGAGACTGCGGAATGGATGCCTTGCTTCCCTGCCCTGTGTGGATGCACACTGCAAGCCCCTGAGGAGCTCTGAATACTGATGTCTGGATCTGAGGCGCTCAACCTCAGTGCTACTAACATGGCAGCCTGGATAATTCTTGGAGAGTCTGTTCTTTGCATTACGGGATGTCCAGCAGTTTTCCTGGTCTCTACCCACTAAGTGCTTATCATAAGTTACCCAGTCTTTCATAATTTAAAATATATGGGAGAAAAAAAGCATCTGATATATTACTGAGTGATATTCATGGTAATTTCTCCTTTCAGAAGTTAGAAGAGGAGGAAAGGAAACCAGTTCTTCTAAAGTTTGTTTTGCATTAGACACTGAAGGTGAGTCACTGGGACCTTAGAACAGTTTGAAAATTTTATGATAGAATGTAGG